ATTTATTTAATGTGTGTGTGTGTGTGGCCAGCTCAGCCCACCAGGGGGCGGGGCTGGCTGGCATGTGGTGCTGGGGGATTGAACCTTGGTCCCTATGCTTTGCTGAGCTTGTTCTAATTAGGTGCCTTAGACCACTGAGCCATCTCACCAGCCCAGCGTTTGCATTTCTACTTCCACGGTTTTTCTTCCTCTCCTAAGGGCAATGATGATGACTGCGTGCGACCTGTCTGCTATCACCAAACCATGGGAGGTACAAAGTCAGGTGAGTCCAGCTGCCTTTCTTTCCTGCCACACTCTGAGATGCTGCCCGAATCCCTTGCGAAAGCCCACGTAAAGGTCTCTGCTGACCAGAACCGTATTCTAACAAATCGTAAGCATCAGCGAGACCACCCATCAGTTGATCAGGCCTAGAATAAGGCAAAATATTGGAAACTGGAAGTAAAACGCTTTTTCGTAGCACAGGCCTGTCATCCCAGCACCCTCAGAAGCTGAGGCACAAGGATTACAAGTTGAAGGCCAGTCTGGGCAACTCGGTGACTTAGCAAACCCTGTCTCAAGAAAGGGGAAGGGATACAGCTCAGTGCAAGACCCCAGATTCAACTCTTAGTAATGAAAACGAAGGGAGGGAGAGAAGGTGGGAAGGAGGGATAGAGGGAAGAAAGAGGGATGGAAGAAGGGAGGGAAGGAAGGAGGGAGGGATGAGGAAAGGAGGGAGAAAAGAAAGGAAAAAGGGAGAGAGGAAGGGAAGGAGGAAGATAAAAAGCCAGCTTTCTTAAAAGAATCCCTCACCACTGAATAGGGTATAAGCATGTATGGAAATCATTCAGAGAAAGCCTGAGTGCTTTACATGGCGCTGCACCAGCGCAGTGCCAGCAGTCACTCGTGCTTTCCTCTGCTGTGGCTGGCTTGGCTGCTGTCTGCTCTCCAGCGCTCTCTCAGTTACTGGAAATCATTTGTGGAGGTCTGAGTGAAGGCTGTCCCTCTGCCACCCTGGGGAGCATAAGTTTAAGGCAAAATGGGACCACTTGCCCTCTTACTAACTGGAAGAAAGAAGCTTCTATTTTTTTCTAAAACTTCTAGGAAGAACTTGAAGCAGGAGAGGGGCCAGAATTATGTGTTCAACCATAAACCTGGATGTCTGTAAAGATAAAATAAATGGAGCCCACTGCAAGGTGGGAAAAATGTCTTTCTCTCACCCATCCCAAGTTCATGGCTCTGGGACCCTTTCACAAAAGGCATATTAACAGAAGAAAAAGCACATAGATATATAGATAGATAGATAGATAGATAGATAGATAGATAGATAGATAGACAGACAGACAGACAGACAGACAGACAGACAGACAGACATAGATATATATTTATGAATTTAGTACAGGGCCTACAGGGTCTACAGGGTTTCACTATGCAGGTCGGACTCACAGCAGTTCTCCTGTTTGCAGCCTCTCAAGTGCTGGGATTACAGGCGCATGCCACCACACCCAGTATCAATCACTGTCTCAGCACACCCCGGGGGTGGGGCCGGCACAGCACACTGGGGATCGAACCCCTGCCGCAGTGTTCCACCTAAGCAGGTGCTTTAGTCAGCTGAGCTATCTGGCCGGCCCTCACAACTGTATTCTGTTGTGACACAGGAGCCTTTATGAGGAAACAA